GTATGTGCATCCGGAACCCACGGAAGCAGCCCTCTCCCAACTGCTCACCGTGCTGCGTGACAGTCACCTGCCCTCGCAGGAGCAGCGACCGCGTCTGGCCAGTTGGCTTTCCTTGGCGGCAGAGGAACTGAAACACGTAAGTACTGCACGCATGGTTTAGTGTATGGCCGACAACCAGTCCTGCTGTCTTTGTCCAGTGCTCATTGCCCTCAGATCACGCGGTTTCCGACTCGATGGCTTGCAGATCCTTTAACTTCGATTCGGGTCTGAACTGAAGTTGTATGGTTGAGAGTTAAAGAAGACGTCCAATTCGGTTCGTGATACGGTGTCAATAATAGCGTTTCCTTATCTGTGGACACGCTGAGTGGCATAGGGGAGCAGTAGGACGAACTCGACTTGAAAGGCGGTAAAAAAAGTGCTCAGCCACTAATGGTAGTTGCGTTCTTGGATCACATCGGGGTCACCAGTTTGTGGTGAGTTTAGTACAAACAATATTTGGACGTCTGAAATTACCCTGCCTGTCGTTAGGTTAACTTAGAGCGTTTTAATCTGGTGGCTTTAAAAAATGCCTAGGAGTGGCAGTAACGTTTAGCTTTCCTCTCATCCCATTCCCTGTCACACCATTTTTTCTGCGTTGGTCGAAGTGTTCGCATTCACGCCTTACATGTCTCGCTTTCTGTCACCGTTTATCGGGCTGCTATTTTTGTGTGATCTTGAACCGTTGGCAAGACGCGCGCAGGCTTAAACTGCGCCATAACAGTGACTAATCCTGCGTCCGGCTTTCACGCGCGGTTTGCCAGCAAGCGGTATTTTGTTACCGACCTTCAATTTCCCACAACTAGGTGAAAGTCTGTAGTTCATTGGTAGACTGATAATCACGTACGATTTTACCATTACCGTTAACGACAGAGAAGGCTAGAATGGCTGTTTCTGACTTGCTAACTGTCTTCAGTCAGCCACATCCGAACCCAGATGTTTCGGCACCCGGAGCTCAAATCCGCGATCTGTTCACCGAAAGTCCAACGTGATAAACACTGCGCCACGAGCCCCTTACCTTGGCGTTTTCGTTTGGGTATATTAACAATAGTGGAAAGGCGTTCCCCGATCGGTTAAGGGACTCACATCTAAGCCCCACCGGCAGCCGCTCAGCGGTTAGACAGATTAAAATTACCGAAAAGAACTATGGAGACTGGATCGGCCATTTCTGGCTTATTAGCCGTCGTCAGCCACACACAGGAGCAGAAGCACATTTCCGACTAAAATACTAGCCGCTGGGTGCCTGCTGATGGGGCTCGAGAGTGAGCTGTAATGCGCATCGGTAAGCGCCCATCTTTCGTTGTTAGTATACAGTAGATTGCATTTCTGAGGAAATATGAATAACAAAATTTGAGTGGGTGATTTAACACACATTTGAGGTTAATAATTTTGTTCATAGAGCTGAATTTAGGTGCAAAATGCTGTTTACTAGAAAAAAAGTTCCGTTCAGATCAGTATACCGGGGGAGGGGGGGGG